TAAACCAGCTTTAAACGCTAACCAATTCAAACAGCAGAAGATGCAGATTTATAGAACAAACATGAAACTTTGGCCCTCAGTCCATTTAACCGTGACAGAGGAAGACAGGTACTGGTTGGGACCCTACTTCTAGGTTTACTAGGGCCACGTAGGTTTACTAGGGCTGCCAAGGTTAGTAAAGAGTGGGACTTCGGAGTCATCAGATTTCATGGTATGCTAACTGCCATCCTCCTTACTAGCTCTTGGCCAGCCATTCCTGGGGCTATCAAGCTCCTTACTGGCCTCCAGAGCCCACCATCCACAGCTGCTCCAGTCCGCTGTGGCTGCACAACAAAGTATCATAGACTTGGTGGCTTAAACAAGAGAAGTATGTTGTCTCACAGTTCTGGAGGCTGGAAGTCCAAGTTCAGCATGTTGGCAGGTTGGTTTCTTCTGAGGCCTCTCTCCTTGGTTTGCAGATGGGCACTTTCTCACTGTCCTCACGTGGTCTCGTCTCTGTGCATGTATCCCTGGTGTTTCTGTGTGTCCACATTTTCTCTTCTTATAAGGACACCAGGCGGTTTGAATTAGGACCCCCGCCCCATGGCTTCACCGTAATTTAATTACCTCTTTAAAGGCCCTATCTCCAAATATGGTCATATTATGAGGTGCTGGGAAGGTCGAGTTTCAACATATAAATTTGGGGGGATAACAGCAGCTCCACAAAGCAACCGTGAACAGGTGGCTTTTGTTCTCCGTGGGAGGTCAGACGCTGGCTCTTGTAGAAGCCCTTATCTTCCCGTGCGGGCCTCTCCCAGTTGTGCCTCTCCCTTCCCAGCAGCCCTAGATGAAGAGGGGCAGGGGCTTCGTGGCTTGACCTGTCATGGCTGTTCCATAGCCCATCTGGTACTCACTTCCAAGGGGTTTGTCTTTCCCATGCTGTTCCATCTTGGGGCTCCCCCTCTCCACTGACTCCTAGCCTTCTGCTTTCAAACCTGTACTCTTCTCTCACCTGGGAAGAAACCTTGCTTGATTGACATTCCCTCTTCCATCACCCTGTTTGTCCTTGTCCCTTCAACTCCAGAATTCTTATCAGATTAGCTGACTCCCTACCTGTTTCCTTGAGAATTTCCTCTGGAGTGACTTCTGACCCCACTGTCTCATGGCACCTGTCCTCTCAAACCTTACCCATCACTCAGTGCTGATCATACCTGAAGTCTAGTTCCCAGTGCCTATTCTTCTCTACCCTTGCTTGCAGTGACAGTCCTTCCATCTCTCGGGGTCCATAGCCCTCTCCTAATTCCCAGCTCCTTACCATGGGCATCACCTGGGATCAGACCCTGGCCCCTTCTCATCTTTCACTGCATTCTTGCCCCCAAGGAACTGAACCATCCTCACAGTTTCCATTATGATTGCATGTTTGATTCTGGAGTCTTGCACTTCCAATCTCCACCAACGTCTCTCTAGAATTCTGATCCTGGGCATCTAGCCTACAAGCGGGTTAAATTCTTTCGTCTGCCATATTCACTTGGACCAAACCAAATGCCTCATCTTTCCCTTCCAAATTTCGTATTCTGTAACTTTAATTTTCCCCGTTTATCCAAGCCAGAAATCTCTAAGGAATCTTTGTACCTCCCTCTTTTTCAGCCCCTAAATTGTTTTAACTTTCTTCTGTCTCCTACTTGTATTTACTTTGCAACTGCCTTTACCAAGGCTGGACCTTGATCATTTCCTTCCCAAAGGATGGCAGTAGCTTTCTAATTGGATAGCCTTGTCCCCCAGGAGGTGGAGAGACCTCCAGGGGTCCCTGAGCCCAACCCAACTGCCGTTTGTGTGAGGACTCCCTGTTCAGTCAGGACAAAGACCTAACTCTCAAACTTGGGATTCTAGACCAGCACCGTGATGACAGTGATATTCCGTGTCTGCGCAATATGGTAGCCACGAACTATGTGTGGCTGTCGAGCACTTGAAATGTGACTGCTGTGACTGAATTTTTTTATTTTCTTTAAATTGTCACACTACCTTCACACCACTGTTCTCTAATCCTAGTCTTACACTCTGGACAACCTCCACCAAACACCCTGACCCTCAACTCTGAACCCCTCTCTGTTCCTGAGCCATGGGGCCCTTCTTTCTCCAGTTCAGATGTTCTCAGGCCCTCAGATCCGTTCCGTGTCCCACCACTGAGTGCTTCCTAACCATCTCCTCAGCCCACAGTGCACTCCTTCATTTGAGCAACTGCATCATGTTGGAGGGATAAAACTTTTCTTCTTTTCTTCTTTTTTTTAAGTAGGCTATACTCCCAATGTGGGGCTTAACTCACCACTCCTAGATCAGGAGTTGCATGCTCTATGGACTGAGCCAGTTAGGTGCCCCCTGGGTAAAACTTTTTTAAAAAAACTTTCTATTTAACTTTTATTTTGAAGTAATTTCTGACTTAAAGAAAAGTTACAAAAATAGTACAAATAATTCTTGTAAACCCTTCACTCTAATTCCTCAAATATTAACATTTTACTATGATTGTTTTGTGTTGTATTTTCTCTCCCTTGCTTTTTCCCTCTCTCCCCCCATCTCTCCACACACACATATACACATATGTACACCTGTGTATATATAATTTTTATGAGTAGTTTGAAAGTAAATTGTATATAGGATATCTTCTATACCTAAATACTTCAGTGTATATTTCCTAAAAACAAGGACAGTCTCAGGGTACGTGGGTGGCTCTGTCAGTTGAGTGTCTAACTCTTAATTTCAGCTCAGGCCATGATCTCGTGGTGTGGGATTAGTCCTGCATTAAGCTCTGCACTGAAAGCATGGAGCCTGCTTGGGATTCTCTCTCTCCCTCTGTCTCTGCCCCTCTCCTGCTCGTCTCTCCCTCTCTCTCTCTCTTTCTCTCTCAAAAATAAATAAACATTATTTTAATAAAAAACCACAAGGACAGTCTCACCACAGCTTGATGATCAAACATGAAATTAACACTGATATAATACTATCATCTAATTTATTGACCTTATGTAAATTCTGCCAGTTGTCCCATCAATGCCCTTTATGATGGGGGAAAAAAAAAGGCTTTCCTGTGGATCACATGCCTTGACATTTAAACCCTTGAAGACAAGCTCTGATTTCTTACATTTGTTTGATTTTCTTCTTGGTACACACGTTAGTAGTGTGTACTGACTGGCCTTTGCCTGGCAAATAGCAGGCCCTCAATAAGTTTCTTGAGATGGACAGATGAATCAATAATGGTGACAAGCCAGGGTGAATTTGGTGGAAGCAGGCCTCACCCTGGGCTTAACCTCATAACGAGTAGCCATCAGCTCTGTGATCTGAGATCACCTGCTTACACAGTCCTTGTGCAGTTCTCAGCTTCTCAGGTAGCAGCCCTCTCCCCATTTTACAGAGGCACAGCTGAAAATCCACACCGTTATATAATTTGCCTATGGGCAGACAGCAGTGCCCAAGCCAGGACATATTGCTTCTTCTCTGCAACCTGCAAAGGTGAAGCTTTGTGGAGGAGTGATTGCTAACATTACTAACATTACCCCCACTCATTCACTCAGTAAACAGTTACCAAGTGCCTACTATGTTCCAGGCACATTGGGTATACAGCAGTGAACAAAAAAGAAAAAATCCTTGCCTTCACAATCCTTATACTTAATGGATAGAGGAAGGGAGACAATAAATAAACAAGTAAATGGTTTGTTTTATGGTTGTTCAGTGCCATGGGTCGGGGGGGGGGATAATAAAGTGGGGTAATGGTGATGAGTGCTGAGGACAGGGGGTTGGTATTTGGTATAGAGTGGTTAGGGAAGATCTCATTGGTTAAGTGACTCCCATTTTTGTATTAAGGTACAATTTCTATACAGTAAAATTCACCCTTTCTAGTGCACAGTTCTGTGAATCTTAACAAACGCACATAGTCATATAACTATTGCCATAATCAGGATATGGTTCCACCACCTTATAACATGTCTTTGTGCCCCTTAATGGTCAACCCCTGCCCCCACCCACCACTACTAATCTGTTCTCTGTCTCTATAGTTTTGCCTTGTCTAGAACAAGGCATATAAATAGAATTATATATTCGTAGCCTTTTGAGTCTGGCTTCTCTTAGTGAAAGAGAAAGACGAATCATTGAGATTCATCTGTTCTGTGTATCAGTTGTTCCTTTTTTATTGATAAGTAGCATTTCATTGTATGAATATACCAAAGTTCATCCGTTCTACAGTTGAGGAACAAGTGGATAAATTCTAGCTTTTGGCAATTACAAATAAAGCCACTGTAAACATTCACATGCAGATATTTGTGTGTGCATAGATTTTCATTCCACCTGGATAGATAGGTTTTGATTAAAGACTTTCAAAAAAGATGAAAATAAGCCATGAAGATAGCTGAGGATATTTTTGCATATTCATCATATTGTTATTTAGCCAAATGAGTAAGTTTTTGCTGTGAAATTGGTCTGTTTGGGTCATTTTTCTTATTTGAATTATTTGGAGAAAGTGGAAGGAATAGGGTAGGAATGGAAGAGACTGTTGGTTGGTTCATTCATTTGTTCATTCATTCATGGATCCATTCAACAAACGTTAAAAAAAAAAAAAAAAAAAGAAAGCCACTAGTCCAAGTCTGTGATCCAAAGGAAGCCTGAGACCCTTGGATCCACACCAAAGGCTGATTTTAGGTGGTTTATCTGACATAATTTCCTTTCTGAGTTTCCTGACATTAGGGTAAGAGAATAGTTAGTGAGTGTGGGGTTATCATTGTTGAAATGGACAATGGAGAATCAAGCGTTTTTTAGTTTTTATCTCAATTGAGGCTCCAGAGACCCTCCAGAGGCCCCCTGAGAACTGATATTCATTCAGTCACAAGGTCATCTGTGTAGGAGTGCAAGATATCCTGAGAACCACACTCAGGTGAGGGCTCTGTCTGGCAGAGGACCAGTGGGCAAGGCTCCTAGGATTTAGGAGCTTTGTGAAAAGCCAGGATTAACAAAATAACCTGTGAACTTCTTTGTTTCAGGTGATGCAACTGTGAAAAAGAAACCTGCCCCCAAGACACCTCCAAAGGCAGGTAATTGGTCACCAGCAGCATTTGGGGGCAAGAGTCCTCTGCCATGAGGGGTTTTTCTTTTGTCCTGGTAGATTGACCACTGGTATGAGATCCCAAAAGACCACCGCCCTCCTTGATTCAAGCTCTGTGTTATTCAAGCCAAATTTTCCCCAAGAGCCTCTGCACAGCCTGGTCCCCTACCCTTTTCCACTACTTGTCTTTTTTCCTACTCCCCTTATAGTGTCCCTCGCTGTAGGGACATCATGTGGCATCATGCAGTACTAGAGACTTTCCCATCCCTTCTGTGAAATTCTGCCTCGCTCTCTGCCCCCCACACTGCCCTTAAGGCGGTGATCTACTTTACGCTCTCTTAATACTCTGTTCTGTATGTCCTTGTCACATAGAGCCCTTGTCTGTTTCCCAGTGAAAGATATTTGAGGACATGAACCATATTGAACCTGTCAGCCAGGGTAACCTGATGATTAGAAAGCAAGGTGCTGCTTAATTAATAAAGGAGTTAGGAGGTAGATTCAAACATTTAGGGTAAGATGCAAATTCCAGAGCAATTGACAGATGGAGAATTATGCCATGTAAATTGTGTGGGCCACTTCTGAAGAATCAAAATGAAGAAATGAAGAGAGCTAGCAGGGTCCATCAGCTCAGACATTCTGGAGCAGCGGCCACTGTCCTCAGTGTTGCCCTGAAGGCTCTGGAAGATGAGAGGAACAGACCAGTGTGGACAGCAGCACTGAGTGAGGTCAGTCTGTCTGAAGCTCCCTCTTCATTGCTCACTTTGTCACTTGTCCCCTCCCAGCCATGCCCCCTCAGATCATCCAGTTTCCCGAAGACCAAAAGGTGCGCGCGGGAGAGTCTGTGGAGCTGTTTGGTAAAGTGGCAGGCACCCAGCCCATCACCTGTACTTGGATGAAGTTCCGAAAGCAGGTCAGTGATGGAGGGGAACAGCCCTCCCAACCCCTGGGTGGGAAGGGATGAAAAATGCCGTCTCACAGAGGCCACATGGCTCTTGATCGGTTGGGGCCTTAGAAATGGGAGGGTCCCCTCCCCCACCTGTCACCACCCACCAAATCTGAGTTCTTAGTGATCATTTCTTATGAGTCTGCCATTAATACTTGCTTTACTGATAGTTTGTGTATAGAGAAAAGTATGAAGGAAAAAATAAAAACCACCCATGCCCTCCATCTGATTTTGATATTTTAGTCCAGAATTCTACTCAGAGTCAGGAAAATTGAACCAGTGACCAAAAGGACCTCTCAGACTCTGTAGATTTCTGTGATTCTGTGCCAGCCCACTGAACCCTATCAGTGGCAACAGCTTAAACTTACCATGTGCTTAATAGATAAAAGTGAATCTGAGTATTTGGATGGATAAATTGTACATTAAATAGAACTTTGGCTTACTGGTCCAGAAATATACCATTTAAAAGAATGGTCCTATGAAAGAAATGTTTGAATTTCTGAACAACCAGCTTTTATAGGGAGATGGGGAACCCACCTGTTCCACTGAGCCCGTATTGGTAGTGTGTGCCCATGTATATCATCAGCAGAGGCCCCAAAACGTGGCTGGCACTGAATCAGGAAATTTGGAGAGGATGTGAAGGTTTCTTTTGAGTTCTCTGGTGCTCTATTTCCAAACCACTCAGACTGTCCTAAGGCCCAGAGGTGGGAGGCTAGTTAACCAGGAAGGAATGGAGGGTTGGTGTGAAAAGATGAAGCATCATCCCAAAGGATGCTGGCTCTATGCTATATCTGGGCTAGCGTCATCTGAAGTAAGATGGAATCCCTCCCTTTTCAGAGACATTTGGCCAGGTCCCCATTCTGTCCAAAAGAACTTTCTATAGTGATGAATATGTTCTATTTCCATTGTCCAATATGGTAGCCACCACTATATGTGGATGTTGAGCACTTGAAGTGTGACTAGTGCCACTGAGGAAATGAATTTTAAATTGTAATTAATTAAAAATTATGATAACAGCTTTCTTTATAACAATAGCCATAAAATTCATACACCATAAAATTCGCCCTTTTGAAGTGTCCAGTTCAGTGGTTTTCAGTATATTCACAAGTTGTGCAACCATAACAACAATCTAATTCTGGAACATTTCCATCACCCTCAAAAGAAACCCTGGACCCATTAGCAGTCATTCCTCCCTTTCCCCTAGGTCCTGGCAACCACTAACTTACTTTCTGTCTCTATGGATTTGCCTTTTCTGGGCATTTCATATCAGTGGGATCATACAGTATATATTATTTTATATCTGGCTTTTTTTTTTTTACTTAGCATAATGTTTTCTGGGCTTATTCACATTAAAGTATAAATCAGTACTTCATTCTTTTTATGGCTGAATAATATTCTATTGTCTGGATATGCCACATTTTGTTTATCTGTTCATCGTTTGATGGACATTTGGGCTGTTTCCACTTAATTAATATTTAAGTATCCACATGTGGCTAGTGGCTACAGTATTAGACAGGACAGAAGAGGTCAGAACACCTTTGTAGGTGGTCTTTGTAGGTAACTTTGCTCAGATGTGTTCTCCTGCCATCCCTCCCAAAGCCATGGTGATACAGGACACTCCTTAACTCTGGTCTGGAGCAGGAAGCACAGACCTGGTTGGTCTGCCAGACCCTGCTCGGCACCCTCCCTGCTCACCCCAGATCTGAACCACCTCAGGGACACTTGGCTTTGGATGCAGGAGAGGAGGGGCCTTAAGGGGAAGCCGAGAGTTCAGATGAGACAGAGCCCCATACTGCTTGTCCAGTGACATTCTCTAGTGGTAGGGAGTGGAGGTCAGAGCCCTCTTCCTTTCTTGGCCCAAGTCTCTAGCACCTGCCCTACTCTCTGCCCCCAGATCCAGGAGAGCGAGCACATCAAGGTGGAGAACAGCGAGAATGGCAGCAGGCTCACCATCCTGGCCGCACGCCAGGAACACTGTGGCTGCTACACTCTGCTGGTGGAGAACAAGCTGGGCAGCAGACAGGCCCAGGTCAACCTCACTGTTGTGGGTGAGTCTGGGGACAGGGTGGCCTGGAGGTCAGAGGACAGGAAAGGCAGAGGCCCCCAGCAGGATGGTGGGCCTCAGGGCCTCACCTCCCCAGGACCTGCTCCTTCGGCACCCTGCCCACAGCTTCCCATGCTCCCACGTTCCCTGTTCCTGCTCTCACACACTTGCTGTGCTTCATACTCCTGGGGAAGCCCAGACCCACACACACACGCTGCAGCATTTTCCTGTTGCCACGAATCTCCTCCTGGCTTCTCCCTCTCTAGCCTTTGCAAATCTTGAGCCACTCTGCTCCAGACCCACCTCTAGCACCCTTGCTCCCTCTCCTCTGGTCCACTGCCTTTATGCTCCCCAGCTTACTCAGTCTCCTTGTGGATCCTCAGCCTCAATCACTGTTGCCTTCCACTGCGCTGCTCCTGCACCTGATTTGGGGGCACTTCGGGAAGGTAACAACCCACAGACTCAGTGCTGGACTCGGCTGGGGTCCAGGTGGAGGCGTCAGTAGGCTCAGTGTCCTCCCCCACTCTCTGTGATAGCTTGTCACCCTGTGGGGCCCCGCCTCCAGCTGCTCTGAGAAACAGAAGCCTTCAGGCATGATCTTGTATCACTTCATGCCCCACGCCTACGGGTGTCTCCATATCTGTGCCCCCTTCTTTCTTGTCTTCACCTTCTCCTCTACTTCTGTAAATGTTGCCAGGGCTCTCTCATCCCAGCCAAACACTGCAATATCCTGGCTCGCTCTGGCCGCCCTACCATCTCTCTCTTGCTCACTTTACAGCCTCGCCCTCTGAAAGGGGCCAGTCTCTGCTCTGATTCTGCTTCTTCGCCTCCCTACAGCCTCCCTTCACCCCCATTAATCTTCTGGGACCACCCTTCTGAAGTCACTGACTTCCCGATCCTAAATCCACTCATTTTTCTCACCTTCTGCATCCCAGTATGGAGTGAGTCTGTCTCCAGACTGATTTTCAAGTTCACTTTTTCCTTTCCATCCCAATCACTGTTTTTCATGTCCTGGTGAACTTCTTCCTGAAATATCAAAATACCTTCCTAACTGGTCTTGCATTGTGGGTTGTGCTCAGCAACTTGACCCCTGACATGGCAGGTGCTCAGGACAATGAAGCAACAGCAGATGAAGGAGTGGGCAGGTGGGTAGCAGGCTGTGTCCCTGTGCATTTGTGGGCTTTCAGATACCATGCGTGTGAAGGACTTTGGCCTGACAGTTTCTGATCTGATCCTCTTTTTCTCTTTCTTTCTTTCTTTTTTTTTTTTTGCTTCTTTTGATCAGGATTTTTTTTTTAATGTTCATTTATTGTTGAGAGAGAGCGTGAGTAGGGGAGGTTCGCGGGGGTTGGGCAGAGGATCCCTAGCATCCCTGATGCGGGGCTTGAACCCACAAACCGTGAGAGCGTGACCTGAACTGAAGTCACATACTCCACTGACAGAGCCACCCGGGCGCCCCTAGATCAGGAGTTTTAAATCTGGGAAGGCCAAGTGTACTAAAGGGACAGGGAACAGGTTTCTCAGCCATAAATGATAGGACACACCTTTTTCTCACTCTTTCTCTTCGGTGACACCAGATATTTGTTTCAGGAATTTTCCCCCAGGAGTCAAGAACCTTTGGGGGTTTGGGGGACTGATGCTAATGATCCAGTTTGCTTATCCTTTTAGACCTGTACCCACAGTATTGATTTGGCCCCACGCCCCAGCTGTCAGCAAGCATTGGTTTCCAGTTTTCCTCTTATCTGGGGAACCTGGGGGTCAGCTCCTTTGAACTGCTTTTCTGTGACCAGTGCCCCTGCCCCCACTCTGGCTGGCTCTGCAGTGCCACACGCTCCCTTCCCCCCAGCACCACCACGCAGCTGCAGTTCTGGCCTTTTATGGTTTCGTTTCTCATTCTCCCGGGCCGGCCAGTGCTGACAGGGCCGTTGGCGTGGCTGCCCGCCAGCTGGCAGGAGCAGCAAGTTAAATGCCGTCCTGGGAGGGGAATGGAATGGAGGGGAACGGGCTTTCTGTCTGCCTCCCCCTCGCAGAGCTAAGAATAGAATTGCCCAATAAAAGGAGCACTCGCATTGATGGATCCAGCAAAGCAACATTCATTCAGAGCTCATGGATTTAGAATTAGTCAAAGTAAACCTGGATTAGGCCCAGATTTACCTGCGTGTCTCTAGGGACATCTGTGTATTATCTGATCAGGGCTTATTAAGTAGATGTCAAATATAAATGAGATGAAACAGGAATCATTCAGCCTACTCAGCGCAGTTTCAAGCACTTTGGAGGCATCCATTTGCGGGCCAGCTAAATCAGGCCTATTGAACACAACTGCTACTTGTTAGCAGTAAACTTCTGCAGGTCCCTTAAAATGCCATTTTCTTTTCATATAGTCTATGACTCCTTTTTTTTTTAAATTTTTTTCAATGTTTATTTATTTTTTTAGAGAGTGGGCAGGGGGGAAGAGGCAGAGAGAGAGGGAGACACAGAATCCGAAGCAGGCTCCAGGCTCTGAGCTGTCAGCACAGAGCTCAACGGTGGGCTCGAACTCACAAACTACGAGATCATGACCTGAGCCCAAGTTGGATTCTTAACCGTCTGAGCCACCCAGGCGCCCCATGACTCCTATTTTTAAAATGATAATAAAAAGTAGCCTTACCCTCAGGTAGTTTCAATGAGTGATGTTTAACTAATGGAAAGGTTTATATTTTAAAAGGCAGCACCAGAGTGTGTGGAGCTGGGAGGGACTGTGCAGACATCTGCCCCTCCAGCTCTACCTCAGGGGGGTGAGAGAGGGGCCCCCGAGAGAGTCCCTAACCCAGATGCATTCCTTCCTGTAACTTGTCCGGCCTGAGAAAAACATCACTTCGCCTATCTTTAAAGGAGAAAAACAAAGTAGAGAGAGTCTCCAAATACCCGGTAATCCCCCAAAACTACCAGAGCTTGGAACTTGCAAGGTTTTTAAAGACAGGAGATTTCCCTTTGTAATGCTTGGCATGGGTTTAAGCAAGATGCTTCTTGATCATATGCTGCCTGATGGCCTGTAGAATAACAGGCCCCTGGAACAAGGGTCTGGAGATTTTTTTGGAGTCTCCTTTTGGCTCTGCCACCGGCTAGCTGGGTATTCTGGGTAAGCAAAGTACCTTGGCCTTCAAGGGCTGGATGATCCAGGTCGATGCCTCCGAGGGGTCACATCCCCTGCCCTTGTCTATAAGCTGCAGGCGGCTGCTGAGGTGCAGTGAAGGGAGGTCCAGGTGGGGTTAGGCCACAGAGCACCTTCAGACACACAGGTGCACGGAGACTGCCAGGGCAGCTGCTCCCTTGAGAAGTAGTGGAGAGGAGATCCTCTATTTTCCCAGGACTGAACAGAAAATCCTGAAGCTGGTGCCATCTGAGATTCTTCCCTTAGACTCAGCATTTCCCATTCTGTTAGTCAAGTCTCCAGGGAGCCATGGGAGAATTCCAAGGCGGCGTAGAGCTTAGGGTTCTAGACACTGAGCCCGCCTTGCCTTTACCAGGCCATGCCCAGGGTCCCCCTCCCAACCCGAGTGTGTCTGTGTGCTTAGTGTGGAAGGGAGGCTCACGGGCATTCTGTTCTGAGGACGTCCCTCTTGTCCCAAGCGTTTTCCTCCCTGGCTAGTCCAGCCTCTGTGTGAGGCTGTCAATTGGAAAGAACAGAGGGCATCAGGCACAGCCCATGGCCCTAAGGGCAGGCGTGAGGGTGGGCGCTTCCATTCTCCGACCACTTCAGACTTGTGAGTCTTTTCTGAACCCCTCAATTTGGAATCAGATTCCTTGAAAGCATTGAAGTTTCACTTGGAATTAAAGCTCCCCCCACCAATTTCACATCTTCTCTTGTGCTGCAGGAGGTGAATGTATATCATTTGTCCGTTTTTCTCATCCTTTCAGCCAAGAAACATCTGGAACAGGGTAGGGTACAAATAGTACCTCTTCTGCAATACCCATTTCTCAACATTTTCTTTCCTTAACCAAAGCAGAAGGGAGAAAAATCAGTCAGTGGAGTGTGTCTGCATTTGTTGTATAAACCTACATGGCTTGAAACGTGTCCAATCAGATGTTTTCCAGGCAGGTTTCTTTGGGGGAAGCAGTGAGTCTGTCTTTCATCCCTCTTTGGGCTTTTTTACTTCCTTCACTGGGTCTTGAGAGGACTTGAACCACTTGCCTCTACAAGAGTTTAAAGTAATAAACATCTTAGCCAACACCAGAAATATTTCTAAAAAGGCCAATACATCTTTCAGAACAAATGGTTTTTCTAAGAGAACACTTTAAACAACCAGTGAAAGCGGCTCCATCACAGGAGGCCTCCAGAGGGACTGCCAACGGTGGAAAGTAGCCCTGTCACAATCCGAGTCCTTCCAGGCGAGGTCCAGGCTGGGGTTGCAAGGCAGTGAATGGCTTCCAGGCCATGGAAGCTGTGGGGCCTGGGGGGAGGGGGTGGTGAGAATGTACATGTATGTGTGTGGATGTGTATACACACACACATACACATGTCAACAGGTTTTTTTCTTCGCTATATGCGTAGAGTCATTTGCAGAAATTCTCTTTGGCCTTCCTGCCTTGCTGAAGGGAGGGAGAGTAGGAGTCAAGGACTTTACCTGGGTTTGCTTACTTGCTGTTTACAAAACCCCTAAAAGGTAGATACATATTAGCACCATCTTCCAAATAAAAAAGACCAACTAGGAGTTTGGAAACTTGGAAGTTAAGGAATTCGCTTGAGTTTACATAGCTTGTAAAATCACATAGCATGACAAGCATGGTTTTAATTGCTAGTTTGGGGAACTCTACACTTCAAACTGCCTTGAGCAAGGTGGGGGGTGGAGGTTACTGAATACTCCTATCTGTAGCTAAATCAACCACCTGTAAAAACTAAGTCTGAAAAATAGAATTTTGTTCAGATGAGCAACTGACAAGATCAGCAAAACTCGAGAACCCCATCAAAATATTGGCTACCGTGATTTGCCTTGAAGCTGGCAGCATTACTGGTCTGAATGGGAAGGCAGCCAGCCGAAGGGGCCGCTGCTAGCTTGTGTCCTCCGCTCTTTTCCCAACCCACAGTCAGGGATGGTTGTGATTTGCTACTGCGGTTTGGTTTTGAAATTCTTTACCTCATTTCATACTGGCCCTATGAGGATACAAGAGGTAGGGTGCGAGTAACTTTTTATGGATTATAAAATTAGAAATAAACTCCTACAATAATGGTAGTGATGGCTCTTCAAGCCAGCCACTTTTCCAGGAACTCCTCACAACAACCTTGTGATCCAAGTGCTATTATTATCTACGTTGCTTACAGATAAGGAAACTGAGGCACAGAGAACTGAACAAGTAGTGAATGTAGACAGGGCTGTGGTCAAACCCAGATCCATCTGACTTCAGAGCTTACTGTGCTATACTGTCTGTCAGGAGGGGGCAGATGTTTCCCAAGTCCCAGAGAAAGTGGAGACTGACCCTAGTTATGTCGCAGGCCACTGGCCTAGGGCCTGACGGAGACACACACACACTCTGAATTCTCTCTCAAAACATATTTTTGATGGGAAGCAGTCCACGCCTTCTGGGCAGCTTCCTAGATCTGTTTACTCAAAGAAATATGTTTATGACTGAGGCAGAGTACAGGAAATCATGACTTGTAGACTGGAAAACTAGCCAAAAAAGGAGGGTTATTTTTCCAGCAAGTAGGTTTTCATGTGGCTTTCCGTGTAGGTGTGTTTCTACATAGGTGTGATTGTGTAGATGAGGTCAGGAAAGCCAGGACCAGGGCTGGCAACTGGGGATCTACAGGCTTCTCCCCCAAGACAAAGCTAATTCAGGAATGTTCTTTCTGTGCAATTCTTCTCCCCCCCCCCCCCCCCCCCCCCCCCCCCCCCCCCCCCCCCCCCCGCTCCGTAATCCTGAAGGCTTGTGTGATGTTGTGCTTCTCTGTCCCCAGACAAGCCAGACCCCCCGGCCGGTACACCGTGCGCCTCTGACATCCGGAGCTCCTCGTTGACCCTGTCCTGGTATGGCTCCTCATATGATGGGGGCAGTGCCGTGCAGTCCTACAGCGTCGAAATCTGGGACTCAGTGGACAAAACGTGGAAGGAACTAGCCACATGCCGCAGCACCTCTTTTAACGTCCAGGACCTGCTGCCAGACCGAGAGTATAAGTTCCGTGTGCGTGCAGTCAACGTGTACGGAACCAGTGAGCCGAGCCAGGAGTCTGAACTCACAGCAGTGGGAGAGAAACCAGAGGGTAGGCTATCTTCCGCTTTATCACTGGCTTGAAGTAAGTTTGTGTGACTTACCTTGTGCCTGTAGAAACCTGTACTGAGAAGGGTACTGAGAACTGAAAGACATCAATGATGGCTGGCAGAGTCTTTGGGGATCTTGATTTCCAGGGTTGTGATGCTGATCCATCCTTTAGAAGTATCTTTGACCTTCAAAACACATTGAACCAGCGGTTTTGGTACACTGCCACCAGGGGGTAATAGTGTGTTAATCAGGAGCAAAGACCTGGAAGGTGGGAGTTCAGATGGGCCTGAAGTTTCAGCTTCCCTCTGCACCCGCCTCCCTCCTTCTCTTGCACTGTCTACTCAGTGCCAGGTTCTAGGGACACAAAGACAAATTAGACAAGAGGCTTAAAATCTTAACTAGGAGCACAGCTGTGTAGACAGTAGCTATAATGAGAGGGGATATATGAGATTATAGTGATGTAAACAAAGGAGACACAGCAGAAAGCATGATTGAGTTTGCCATGCAGGTTGAATAAGGCTTCCTAGAAGAGTTGACACATATGCTGAGTCTTGGAAAAAGGAATGGGCTTCCAAAAGGCAGGGAAATAGGGAGAGGCATTCCTCCCAGAGAAAGCAGCATGTCCAAAGGTACAAAGTGATGGAAATGCATGGCATTTTGAGGAGCTTGTGTGTGGCCAGGGCATATGCTGTGCAAGACAGAACAGAAGAAGGCAACCCTGAAGGGGCAGTTCAGGTGAAATTGAGAGGTTGATCAAAGATTCCAGGCAGGGGATTGATATGATCACATCTGGTTTTATTTATTTATTTATTTATTTATTTTTTTAAGTTTGAGAGAGAGAGAGCGCGCATGCGCAGGGGAGGGGCAGAGAGAGAGGAGAGAGAGAATCCCAAGCAGACTGCATGCTGTCAGTGCAGAGCCCAACGTGGGGCTCAACTTCACAAACTGCAAGATCGTGACCTGAGCCAAAGTCAAAGGTCAGACACTTAACCAACTGAGCCACCCAGGCGCCCCACATCTGTTTTTTTAGAAAGAGAATTAGAGAAAGAGTAGAGTTTTGCTACTCAAAGTATGGTCTGGACCAGAGTCTTGGGATCCTGGGATTTGCTGGAAATGCAGACCCTTCGCCCCTCCATTCCTCTGGTCCCTTCTGAACCTTCATTTCAGCACGATCCACCCCCATGGATTCAGATGTGTGTGACAGTTTGGGAAGTACCCAAGTGGAAGTGGGGGGGTGACATTGGAGTCAGCAAGCTACCAGTTGGGCTTCTGTGGTGCATTCCAGGTGAGGGATAGGTAAGGGCATGAACTAAACCCTCAACAGGTAGAACTGACTATTCTCAATGACTTTTTGGGTAGAATTGAAGGAAAAATGAGAAGAGTTCAGGATGACTTCCAGTTCCTGGCTTGGGTAACTGAATACAAATTTAAGAGGCATTTATTATCATAGTTCTCGGTGGCTAACATATATCAAGCACTTGCTATATGCTAACAGTGTGTTGAGCACTTTACATGCATCATTTTATGCATCTAACTCACTGAAGTAGATAGTTACTACCCCCGTTTTACAGATAGGAGAAACGAGGTTTACAGGGATGAAGCAACTTGCCCAAGATCCCAAAGCATGTAATGTAAATGGTAAGCTGTCTGACCTGAAGCCTGTAGTACTTTGGTTAAACTGAAGGAGGAGGTCAGGCTGCCTCCCAGGGACTTAGACGTTAGGCAGCCGGGAGTCCGGGAGAAGATGCAAGTTCTGGTCTCAGTCCCGTGCAGATGAGGTGTCTGAGGGATATCCAGGCGTCTTCAGACTACTGACTGGCTGAATCTAGAGCTCAGGAGAAGGGTTTATGCCAGAACTACAGATTTGGGGGTTTCGCTATATATATTTAATTGATTATTGAAGCCATGGGCTCAATGAAGTCACTGAGAGTGGTAGAGAAAGTCAATACGGATACCGAGATGAAGAATCCTGCAAGGCCAGAAGGAAGGATGAGGCAGAGAGAAGCAGAAGCTGGAGCCGCGTTGAAGAAACACAGATTGCAGAGAGGGCTCCGCGAACAGCAGCAGTGCTAAATACAGAAAGAGATGAGGACTCAGGGATTTATCCCTTTGATATTCAGCGATCTTTGAGAGGAAAGTCCAAAGCGTTTCCACAGGGTGGAAAATGGTTGCCCTGGGGTTAAGGAATAAGTGGGAGAAGAGAGGCCAGGACTGTGGAATATTATTTCAGAAAGTTCAATGGGAAAAGAAGAAAAGAGTGCCGTGAGTTTAAGGTGGAGAAGAGGTGGGGGGCAGGGAGGAGGGTGGAGGGACACCAAGGGAAAGGGCACTGGGAGAGGGAGAGCTTAAGGGTGTGAGGCTTAGAGAAGAGGGGAGAGTGAAGGACAGGGAGCTGGACAGGGCCAGTCTGAAGTCCCCACGCGATCAGAGGCATCACGAATATGGAACTGCCATTATAGTTTGATGCCCCTCTTTAGTGAAAATATTAGATATAAAATAGACATGAACTCTTTACTTTTATATTATTATTTTTTTAATGTTTTATTTATTTTTTGAGAGAGAGAGAGAGAGAGAGAGAGAGAACGAGCGGGGAAGGGGCAGAGAGAGAAGGAGACACAGAATACACGAAACAGCCTCCAGGCTCTGAGCTGTCAGCACAGAGCCCAACGTGGGGCTCGAACCCATGAACCACGAGATCATGACCTGAGCTGAAGTTGGACACTCAACCGACTGAGCCACCCAGGTGCCCCATTTTACTTTCATATTAAAAGAGGGCTCCAAAAAGAAATTTGGAGGATGCCAGTGGAAAACACTCCAAATTTACAAGATTGCCAGTGCAGCCCTATCTTGGGGGCCTTTACCCCTGAGCTCTGGGACATGGGAGCCACAGGGGCATGGATCCTGGCCCCCAGGATGGCCCTGCTGAGCCTCCGGGCAGCTGTCCTGGGGCTCCTGCCCACTAGCTGCTCACAAATGTCTGCTGAGGGAAGCGGGGTAACAAAACTGCCATCTGCCGCCCTTTGACCTTCTTTGTGGGGAGCAGGCAGGTTAGCGTAGGGGTGCCAGGACAGGCATTCAGTTTTATGTTTGTAGCATATTGCTTTGTTCGAGAACACTCCCTACCTCTTGAAAAGTGACAAGGGAAGAGACAGCATTGCAGTGAGATGTTCCCTAGATGGAAAGGAAAGTGTCCAGGGCCCCTATGGCAGACACCAGGAGAAATGGTAGAATCCCCGATGAAGCCCATGCAGAGGACAGAGGCCCTCAGAGCTGCAAGGTGTGGCTCCCAGGAGGCCAGGACAGCAGCTCCCAGGCCTGTAGGGAGAGTGTGTGGGGACAAGGGCGAGGACCACCAGGCTCTGGGCAGGTGGCCTTTCCCTTCTTCCCCTACAGCCAGCCAAATCCCACTGTGGTCCTCAGTTCTCCCCCTAGGGCCCCTCCTGGCTGAGAGCAGACAAAAGGAAATGCAAAAATAGCCTGCAAGCCAGAGGAGGGGTCCAGGCCACCCAGGGCTTCCAGACTGGATGCTGCTCCCACCTCTCAGGGCCAGCTGGATGGCTGGGGTGGGGGTGGGGGGGATGGGGGGGCGGAGGACAGAACAGTTGCCAAGCATTAGGCCTGAGGGGCAGAGG